CAGCACGAGTTGGATCCCCGGCCAGGGAGCAACCCACATGGCGCAGCAGACCTCTCCTGACTCTCCCACTGCTCCCCTCAGCAGTGTACTTCAGTCAATCTGCCTGTTCTGTTCCCCACTCTGTCTCTGGTGAATCCTCTCACCCCCTGCATATGGCCTGTACCCCAGCTCTTGTATGCATAAATAAATAAATCTTAAAAAAACAAAACAAAAAAAAGAAAGCAGGGCCTCCCTGGTGGGGCAAGGGTTAAGGCACAACCTATGAAGCTGTCCGCAGCCTCTGCAGCACGAGCTCGATTTCTGGCCAGTCAGGGAGCAACCCACATGGCGCAGCAGATCTCTCCTGACTCACCCGCTGCTCCCCTCAGCAGTGTATTTTGGTCAGTCTGCCTGTTCTGTTTCCCACTCAGTCTCTGGTGAATCCTCTCACCCACCCCCACACCTCTGGCCTGTACCCCAGCTCCTGTATGCATAATTTTTTTTTAAAAAAGAAAGCAGACTTCACCCCACCTTCCCCATCCTTGATAAAGCCATTCCCATCCGCATTGCCCAACCTTTCATAGCAGCCATGGAGTGTCAAAGGAGAGGGGGTGTGGTCTCAGGCAAACTTCCAGAACCCTCTGGGAAGTTTTTGAACTCTGCAGACTTTGGGTCTCCTTCCTGGCCTGCCCATCAGAATTTCAGGTTTAGATGCAGCGGGGTGGGGATTTGGGGCCCCTAAGTAGGTGTGGGAAGCTGGGCCCTGAAGGGTGCTGAAATTGGAGTCTCCTAGAGACCAGGCCAGCACCCCAAGGGGTCAGGGTGGGACGTCTTACTTGTCCCCTCATCCAGGAACCATCCAGCTGTAATATATCCAGTCTCTGCTCGGCGCTTTGAGACACAGCAAGGGACAAATCTCTGCCACCCGTGCTTGTGTCAGTGTTTGCGCGACGTGCCAGTGTTTGCGCCAGGGAAGACTTCTGCAGGGACAGGGTGTGGGAAGCCGAGGGGGAGCCTTAGCTCTGCTAGGCTTTAATAGCAGGTGCAAAGACGCAGGCTTGGAGAGACCTCCCATGCTGTAATCAGTGTCTGCCCCGCATCCCCGCTAGGCAGAAACTCCCACTATTTTGGCCCGAGGTCTGCAGGGGCCAAGCGGGTGTCAGTGCATGCAGGGCCGCCCTAAAAGCAGCCTGGGCCTCAAAGAGACGCTCCCTCCTCCCCCTGGGCTTGCACGGGCGCTGCTGCGCTCCACGCAGCACCCGGGCCCTGGATCGCAGAGGTGCGCCCGGGGGTCACGACCCCCAGGGAGGTGTCTCCAGGCCGAAGGCGCCGGAGGCAGCGATTAGGAACATGCAGAAAGGGGAAGGAGACAGCAGAAACTTTAACTCGCCCCGCTGCACCTCGAACACGGAAAATAAAAACATCTTCTGGGCTAAAAATACTTGCTCCGAGAGTCCCTGCGCGCTGGCGGGCGGCGCGGCGCAGCTGCCGGCCTGGCCCGGGGAAGACTTGGCCGCGCGGCCGCCGATTACACCCAGCTCGGCCGGGATGGCTCCGAGCCGTCTGCCCTGACGTCAGCGGGGTTCGGGGCCCCGCCGCGGCGAGATAGGCAGCGCGGCCGGGCGCGGGCGCGGCGCTAATCACTCCCAGATGTCCCTAATAGCGCAGATAAAGACCGACGGGGCGGCCGGGAATAAATTTGTAATCAGGGCTCTACCATCTGATCATCAAAGCGGCCCAAATGCCGGGAGAAAATGAAGGGAATGTGGGTGTGGACGGGGGACGCTTTTAGGGGAGAGCCTGGGGCACACTGCTCCGGAGGAGCCAAGCCCCGCGAGGTGGAGGGAGGCCCGGAGAGGCGTCCGGCTCCCGGGCGCGCGCAGGCGGACACCAGGGCGCTCTCCCCGGAGCCCGGCCGGCCGAGGGCGCGGGGCTGTTGCAGGCTCGTTAGGGCCCCGCCAGCCGCCGCGTGGGAAGCCCGCCTGGCGCAGGGGCGCGCTGGGCTGTGCGGGCCCCCAGAAACCTGGGATTCGTTTCCTTTGCTGGAGTAACTCCCTCTCCCTCCTCCCTTTTCTAAACAGTAAAAAGTACTTCCTCCCGCAAGACTATCTCTATGGCAACATTTCTCTGCGAGGATGATCTTCCTGGGGAGGGAGAGGCTGGGGCCTCCAGACTGGGGTCCTGAACCCCATTCCAGGGCATCTCCAGAGTCTTTCTCTCCGAGGGATCCACAGGCTCCGACCCACCAGACTCCTTAGAGCCCCTTCCTTGTTCCCGGACCTGGACCCAAGCAGTTGGGCCTGTTGGAGGAAGGGTTCCCTCTAGTCAACACATCCAGAAAAGACTGGACGTGCCCAGGGTCCAGATGCAGCGCTCTACACGGGCATAGCCAAGGCCTCCTTTCTGAAAGATCGTCTTGCTTGGCACCTACTGCAAGTCCCTTTTGCAAGTCCAGGCTGGTGGGTGACACTTTAGGGCAGGAAGAACGCAAGGCAGCTGTGGAAGAGAAAGCCACTAGCCTCACGCACAGTTAGACACGTTTCCTCAAAACTACAGGAAAAAGCAAGAGGTTCCCCATATTTTGTAAACCCACAGTGCGCATGAAGTCCCAGCTTCGGCTGCTTCCTTTGCCCAAGTTAGTCCTTTGGGCACACACTTGGTGCTCCCACAACTGGCCTGCATTCTCTGCACAGACGAAGTCTTGGAAGGGGCTGGCAGGCCTCCTTCCACTGCCTTTGGTTTTAGTGCATTTAAGCTCAATCACACCCTGGAACCTCTTCCAGCGAAATTGCAACCCACTTTCCCTTCTACCCCTTCACAACCAGGGTCAGATACCAGCCCTGCCATCCTGGCCACCCCAGGTGTCAACAATAGGGGGCAGAGGAGGGAGGGAGCTACTTTCTAGACCCTCCCCAGCTCACCCACTCCTGCTTTCTAAGGGGCAGGGGAGGCCACTGCTGCACCATCTCACCTCTGGGGAGACCTGGCCGCCTGGTCCTGCCACACTTGAGGCAGGAGGCCCTCATCCTAAGCCCAGAGCCTGCTCCCCACTTCTTAGGTGTTTGGCCCACCCAGAAGCTGGAGCTTCCTACTGAGTCCCCCAGACGACCCTTTGGGATTCAGAGAGCAAGAAGAACACCAAATGACCTTGCTGTCATCTCTGCATTTGGATCAGAAAAAGCCTTTAAGTTGCCATCAGTGCCCAGATGAGGGGTAATGTCCTGGAAAATTGTGATGGGAGTGGGGACTATCTACACACACACACACACACACACACACACACACACACAGCAGGCAGAGGCCTTGCCCCTCCTGGGCTCCAGGGTTATCAGGCGCTCGGCCTGCGCGGCGGTCTGGGGCCGGGCCCTGACAGCCAGATCTACCATCAATTTACCTTCCGCCGCCCCAGCTTCCCATTTAGCTTTTAACGTCAAATCCTGCATTTTTGTCGGCTCCGGCCTGTCTAGAGAGCTTGCGATTTCGCTGCAGGAGTGATTGCTTTTAACAAAATGGCAGCAACCACATTATCCGAGCAATTAAAACAGAGGCCTTTTAGTCGGTCCCGCAAGGCAGCAGCCTGGGAATTTTTTTAAGCAAAGAAGAAAGGGAGTTACAAGAAAAAGAAAAGTGTAGAAGGCCGTGAAAAAGCAGGATGCACCACTCACTTGCCTCGGATTTGACACCTTGGGGCAGGGCTATTGCAGGACTAGGCCCTGCGCTGGCTGGGCTTGGGGGGATGTCTTTCCAACTGGACTGTCAGGTTAGTTGGGTCGTGCATCCGCTTGGGGGTTCGGCTGGCCCCCTGGGGTGTCAGGTCTGCCGGATGTCTGGTCAGTTGGGGTTCCTGGCTGGTTGGAAAGCCCAGGCGTTTGGGGGTGTCGGGCCTGGTGCTGCTGGCCCGGAGGACTGGGCGCTGCAGGCAGGAGACGGGCAGCCCCTGGTCCAGGCCAGACAAAAGAGGACTGTGCTTGCAGCGCGGGTTTAAAAGCATGTGCAGTTGCAAGCAGCCCTGCGATCTCGGCGAACCAGGGTCTTCTGCTTCAACTCTGCCCGCATTTAGTAAACAAACAAACAAAAATAATAATAATACTAACAAGTGTTAAGCCAACAGAAATGCGTAAGGCCCAGGCCCAGGCAGGGAGGACCAGCGGCGCACAGCAAGCGCAGACACACACGCGTGGTGAGGGTCCCTGACTCCCCCTGTTTCTGTTTTGAAAACCTCACAGCCTCACCACCATTCACTCCACCACTTCTTCTACCCCGAGGATCCGGTGTCTCCCCAACCGGGGGTTCATGCAAAGCTGCAAAAGGCGGAGAAGACCGCCAGCCACTCGGTCAAGCGGACAGGGATCCCGGGAGCAATAGAAAATCAGGGCGCGCCTACCCCCCTCCCCGCCCCGTGCTATAAACAAAGGCAAGTGTCTGTAAACACCGCCCCGCGCCCACCGCGCCGGCCCAGCGCCGGCTGACCCGAGGGGAGAAAGTTCAGATCGCTTTGGCCGAGTTGTTCTAACCCCGCGCCCTCGCGTCTCGGGCGCCCGCAGCGGCGGCCCGCGCGCCCCCGGCCTGTCCAGCCCCGGCCACTTGCGCCTCGGCCGCGGCGGGCGCCTGCCCAGAGCGAGCGCCCTCGGGGCGTGGGAACCCTGGGATCTGCAGGGAGAGCCTGTGCCCCAAGTCCAGGTGCGAACATCACCCCAAGAAGTTCCAAGATGGAAACCCTCTGGCAAGCCTCCCTCGCACTAGATTTATATACATGGCGTCTCAGGAAACAAACCGCTTTTTAATATGTTTCACCTTTCTCTCCCCCCCCCCGCCCCCCCTCCAATTCTTCTCTGCTCCCCACCCCCACACCGAATCCTTTATGGCACTTCAGTTTCTCTGCTTCTTCCATAGAAGTTCCTTTTCCAGTGGAGCCCAAGGCTAAGAGGGCCGCAGGGACTTCCTTCCGGGACAACCCGGGCTCCAGGGGACCCCACTTCCGACGGGGCGGAGGCCGGGCCACCCCGGCCCGCGGAGGGCGCAGCTTGCTGGGCTGGCCTGGCCTGCGGCCCGCAAGACTCCAGACCCGGCACAGTTAATATTAAGTTCCCTGTAGCGCCTTGTAAATCTAGCCTCCCTCTCACCCCCCACCTTAAATCCATGGACTTGTTCGCGATTTCTTACTTGACGTAAAATTCCTTGTTACCTAATCAGGGAATTTTCCCGAAGGCCCACCTCCTCCCTGACCTGCTCAGCTGAAAATCGGCTGGATCGAGATTACAAGCAAACCCTCCTCTTGTGCTCCTTCCTCGCCCGGATGAAAGCCTCTTGTTTGGAACCACAAGCTCCAGACTAGCTCCTGCAGCTGCAGTCACGTCTGGGGTGCCTGGCCCCAGCACACAACACACAACACACCTCCTCCACGGAAAACAGCCTCCCAAACAAAAGTGGAAGCCCCCACTGAAGGGCATGTAGTGGATTTCAGCAAAGCAAGGCCAGTTCCCACCTTCTTCTGAGCAAACCGCAGAGGCCTGTGCCAGGCCAGTCCTTCCAGAGACCACTCAGCATTTCCCCCTGGGACTGGGGTGAGCGGGAGGGAGACAGGACCTTGGAGCAACCGACACCCTTCTGCAGAATTTTCTTCAAGGACACTTCTCTTTAAGGGGTCCTTCTCGCCCTGCCCGGTGGGGAGCTCACATTGATGCTGGAAGGTAGCCACTGACTGTTTCAAATAAAGTTAGAGGCAATCGTGATAATTTAGTTTACTTCTGAATACTTTAAATATTATGAAAACAAGCATAACAGTTTTGTTTTCAAACTCTTTTGAGGTATCCACCATGAAAAGATTGGGGTTTTTGTAAAAAAAAAACACACAGTGGTTTATTGAATACTTACAACGTTTACACCTTCAATATTAATTAAATTCCACTTAGTTTTAGAGGACGCAAGTGCACAAAACAAGTAGCTGTTGGTAACATTTTTGAACAGGGAAGGATCACAGAGGAAACAGCACTAGATACCGATCCCCACAGAAATGTTAGCGGCCCCATTTTCTGCTTTGAAATAAAACTTTATAATCCCCAGGAATATTTATATCCAAAGGCCAAGCATTAAGGATTCACTTCACATACACACTACTGTCCGCTGTCTTTATCTGGGAGGGGTTGGGGGGTGGGTTAGGGAGGAGGCCACGCTGGTGTCTACACAGCCAGGAGGGCACATTCACACACAGAATCTACGACACGACGGGATCCCTTACCACATGGGAGTGTCCTCTTCATATTAAAATATGGAATGCTTTTCTTCAAATATCCACTTTTTTTTTGGAGGGGGAGGTGGGGAGCGGATGCCTCGGAGGGGAGCAAAGAGAGGGGAGGCAAATTGCACATAAATAAACCGGATGATTCCCACTGCGAGAAGTCCTCGGAGCGCGCGCAGAGAGCTTTCCCGAGTCCTGGGTCTGCAGGCGGCCTCCAGGGTCCCAGCTCGCTCGCGGTCACTCCGCTTCCTCACTGCTTGAGCTCCAGGGCCCAGACGTGCTGCGGCCAGCCCGTTCGGCCTTTGCTTTTCTTGTCGTTGCTGCTCACTGTGCTTTTCAAGATTTCGTTCTGAGCAGAGGAGAGGCGAGGGGGAGACAAGCGCAAAGAGAAATTCAGAGGTGAGCCCTGGGTCTCCGCCACCCCAGCGCTCCCCAGGCCCGAGGAGTCGGCGAGAGGGAGGCTCGGCGGGCGGCGGGAGGGTGGCCCGGCCCAGCCCGGCCCAGCCCGGCCCAGCCCCTGCAAGGACGCTCCCGCGCAGGCCTCCGCGCGCCCGCCGCGCTCGGCCACCTACGGCATCGGCGCGTTTGGAAACCACCGCCCGTGTTCAAGTCGCTTATGGAGGAGCTGGGGGCCTTCCTCTGGCTCCAGGACCCGGGTGTGGGTCGGGGCTGAATCTGGTTTCCGAGTTTACAAGGGCACCCCTAGACCCGTGCTCTGGGCAAGATGGGCAAGTTGTTCCCCGGGGCCTGGGCCTCTCCGCCAGCTGCTCTGGGCCTCCGGCTCAGCTCGTGTCTCTCCTCCAAGGATCTGGAACCCCTGGTTATTTGGGGGAGTCACTCTCTTATGCAGTGAACACAGGGCCACGGGCCCCAACGAAGAAAAACTCGGCCAGTGGAATTATTTTCTAGGCCCTTTAGGGCTACAGCCCTGTTTTGAACAACCCCCAGCCCCCCACACACACCCCACGCTAGGGTGGTTGGCAAGAACCTGATAAAACTTTACTTTCCAATTGCAATTTCGTGTTATTGCTGACCACAACAGCAGAAGCTAGAGCATTCTGAAGATGTACATGCTCATGCAGCAAACCCAGAAACACCTAGGAAGTGTACCGGCCTGGGAAGCTACATTTTAAGCTCTTTGCCAAAAGGAAACTGGAGTTACTTTTGGAAGTTAAAGGAGCTTACTCTACTTGACCTTTCTTTGGGGCACAGTAAGGAGAGCCATAAACCTCTCTCCAAGTTGCCTCTAGTGAGGCAAATGCCAGCAGAAGTGAAATGATTGCCATCGAGCACGTAGGCACGGCTGGCTTTGGAAATATCTTGCAAACGAGGTCGGGTTGGAGCCCAAAGGAAGGCGCTAAGGGACTCAGAATGAGGGGTTCGGCCCAGCTCCATCTGCAGATCAGTCCCAACCACCAGCCCCTAGGCCACCCTCTGTGCCTGGGGGAGCAGTGATAACCTGGAGAGGAGATGGCCGGGGAAGCATCCCTCTTGACCTCTTCCTCCTGCTGACACCCTCCCAGATCTCCTCGGCTTCGGCGGGGAACCCCCCCTCACAAGCCGGTGCAAGCACCTTCCACCCAGCACACAGCCAAAGAATGCGGGGGGTGCCACTGCTCTACCCTACCAGAATGAGGCCAGGAGCACCGGCTCCCCCCGAACCCCACATGCGCATCGCCCGCGCCCCCGCGTACTGACCAGTTCCTTCTTCCGCTTCTCTTCTTTCACGTCTGTCTTCTTGATCTCCGCCTTGAAGGCCTCTGCCTCGCCGTTCTGGTCGTCCTTGGCCAGCAGGTCCATGAGGTAGGCGATGTAGCTGGTGGCCAGGCGCAGCGTCTTGATCTTGGAGAGCTTGGTGTCGGCGGGCACGTTGGGGATGCACTCTCGGAGCTCGGCAAAGGCGCTGTTGATGCTCTGAGTCCTGCGCCGCTCCTTGCGGTTGGCGGTGCCCCGGCGCTTCACCGGCCGCGGCCCCCCCAGGCCAGGGGGCCCGGCGCCCGGCGGCACCCCCCCGTAATGGGAGTGGTCCAGGCCCGCGGCGCCGCTGGCGTACTCGGGGCTGTAGGACAGGGCCATGCTGTAATCTGGGGGCGACATCTCCGGGTGGCCGATGAGCCAGCCGTGGAAGTAGGGGTTCTCCTCGTGGCTGCAGCGGCTGGCGGCGGCCGCAGCGGCCGCGGCCGCAGCGGCGGCGAAGGGGTAGCCCTCATGGTGCACCACCGGGTGGTGGGGGAAGCCCCCCACCAGACTCATGTCGCTCTCCGCGCCCCTCCACGCGCCCCAGCGCGCGCGCAGCCCCGCCGCGCCCTCGGCCCGGGCCCCTGCGTCGGCGCTCGGCGGCCGCCCCCACCCCCCGCCCCCCAGTGCGCGGGCGCCCGGGCCGGCCCGGCAGCCGCAGAGGGGGCTGCAGCAGCCCGGGCCCCGGCCCCGCGCCTGGCCCGCCGGGCCCGCCTCAGCAGCGCCGCGGCCGCCGGCTCCCCATGGGGCGCGGCGAGCTGGTCCCGGCACCGTGCGCCCCCGGCCGCCGCCGCCCGGCGCCCGGCTCCGCTGCGCGCGCGCCTGCTGCCGCCCGGGCCGCTGCGGGGCCGCGGGACCCTCGCGTGCTCATGCACGGGCGCCGGGGCTCCTCGGAGGCGCCGGGCCGCGCGCCCCAGCCGCGCCCTCGGCACCGACGCGGGCGGCGGGTCCCGGCGAGAGTCCGAGCCGTGGCTGGAGGCGCCGGCCCGGCTCCGCAGGGAGGCGGCGGGGCGGACGGCGCGCTCGGCGGCGGCCTCGGGGCGACCCTCCCCGCCCCGCCCCGCCCCTCCCCCACCGGCTCGTCGGGGTTCTCGGGCGCTTATTGTTTTAATGAAAATGTTGGAGGTGGTGGTTGTGGTCCTTAAATGTGATTTTGGCTGCGAGGAACGTGGCCTCGCTCCCGGCGCTCCCGCGGAGGCTTTTCAGAGCGGTCTCAGCGCATCCATGTCCGCGGATCCTCTCCGTCTTGCGGGGGACGGACCTGGGGCGCAGCGGGCGCCCCGGGGCGCGCAGGCGGCGGCTGGGGCTGGCGAGGGGCCCGGCGCGGCGGCGGCGAAGGGCGCTCCCGGGCGGCGGCGGTGCTCCGGAGCTGGTCGCCGGGAGGGGAGCGAGCGGGTTTTCCCGGCAAGATCTCCATGTACAGCTACATCTTTAGGGCCGCTCGGGTTAATATATGTCGTCAGAGGCGCCCCACGCCAATCCCGGGGCGGCGGGGGCGGTGCCTGGCGCTCTCCGCAATAAAACTTTTTGATGTTCTGGTTGCTAATTGCCGAGGTCCTCTTCCAGGATTGGCTGCCCCTTCAGAACCAGAAGATAATTAAAACGAAGGTGGGGGGGGGCAGGGTTAAAAAAACTTTTTTATCAGCCAGAGGTTAATGCAAGTGTTTAACAGATGCTTCACTATTAAAATATTCTGCCCCCACCCCCGAGACGCAAATATTGAAGAAGCTCAAACCAGGTACAGTACGACCCCGCTTTATTTTCTGGTTAAAAAAAACAAAAAGGAAAAAAGCTCTTGGTGCTTTGGGAAGTGCTTTGGGGGTAACTTTGGGGGTCAGTGCGCCCGGCGGGAGCTGGGGTGGCGGGCGCGGGGCGTCCCCACCAAGGGGTCGACTCCCGGCGGCTGCCGGCTGCAGGGTCCCGGGGCACCGGTGCGCGCCCCCCGCGGCTGCTGTTCCCCCACGTGCCCCCCGAGCCACCTCGGCCAGGCCCGTCCTGGGTCCTCGAGTCCCCGCGGCTGCCTTTGGAGCTCGCGCCCCAGACCCCGGGCGAGCGCTCGAGCCCATGGTCCATGCGCTTCTTTCCATGTCCTCCAGGGACCCCGGCCTCCACCCCAGCGATCGGCGATTTCAAAGCTCGGGCACCTCGATCCCCCGAATTTGTGGTGTGGCGGGGATCGGTGTTCCCCTGGTTTAACTAGCCTGTTTGGTAAGTAACTGAATATTTTTTACAGCGTGTTCAGAGCTTATTTTCCCGTTTTTATGAACAAACATATAAATATATCTCTGCATTCCTGCCTCGCCCATAAAAGCGGGCATCTGTGGAAAGCAGGTTTAGTTATCGGAGGGGAACCATTAAACACCAGTTTAAGAGGCAGGCCCGGAGGACGGCTCGTGCTTGTTTACACTGCGGGCCGCGGGGATCTTGAACGCATTAGAACGGAAAATGGATCTCCGCTTGCAGGTCGCCGGCCGCAGGGCACCGCGGCCGAGGCGCCCGCGCGGCGTGAGCGTCTGACAAGCCTCGCAAGAGATTGGGGGGGTGGGGGTGGACTTTGGCACGAGCTGAAAGTGCCCCCAGGGCTTGGCCGGGAGCCGCGAGGAGAGGCCTGAAGTGTAGATGAGGATTCGGTCGGTTGGAGTTCGGTCTGGAAACCGGTGTCAACAGCAGCCCGCGGGCCGTAAATTAGAGGGAGCCGCAGGCTGAGAGCTCAAAAGCCGTCTGGCCCCCCCGATCTGCCTGGGACTCGACGCTGGGCCTGGCCAAAGTCGCCCGAGGGAGCCCCGCGTCTCCACCGTGGGCGTCGTCCTTTGGAGGCAGTGTCAGGCCCCAGGCTGCGAAGGGAGCCTCCACCCAAGGACTCGGTGAGGACAGTCCTTTCCTTCCGTCTGGGCGCTTTGTGGGGGAGGGGGGTATGATTTGGGGGTGAAAGGCGAGGTCAGCTTCAATGGATGGTGCATTTGGAGGTGCCCAACTCCCTTGCCTCCAGCGATTGGGTCGGGTCCTGCCACCTCTATTCCCAAAACCTTGGGCAGCAGCTTGAGAAATCTTTTTTTGGGTTTGCAGCAGCCAGGCAGCTAGGAGGGAGGAAGGGCTCAAACAGGGTTATGGAGGTACAGGCATGGCCCCTGGCCTTCCCTGTGTCAGGGGTTGATTTCCCTGGACCTCCCCAGCAGAGAGTCTTAATGCAGAGAACCAGCGGCTGGGGAGTGGCTGAAGCCAGATGTCTTTGGAAGGTAAGTACCAGGATCTTGCATTTGGCTTAGCACAAAATAGCCACCTAGAGCTTCCAACCCTCAACTTGGGTGGGTCTGCAGTTTTGAGCACAAGGAGAGTCTTTTTAAGACCTTGTTCTTCAAAGAAAGAATATAGGTAGTGAGGTCGGTTGTGTTTACATTTGCACTGGGGAGGCAAACCCCGAATGTGTAAATACTGGTAGTTCAATCCTCTGACATTTGATACATTAAAAAAAAAGTCTGTTTACAAAATCACATCTAGGCCTTGGGAGCAGATAGACAAAGTAAGATGGTTGCACCCAGGCTGGGAACAGATAAAAACTCAGGGAATGTAGTTGGTAGGTTGCTTTCAGCTCCAGAGGCGGTTTTAGGAATTGGAAGGAGCAAGAGAGCAGAGGGCCGAGTTGGGGATGGTGATGGCTGGAGTCGACGGGCCTCAGTGGTGAAGCTTCAGAACTTGCGTTTTCCATGCTTTCTCGTGCCTTTTCCTCTGAAATAAGCAATCCCAAAATGGGTGCCTCCGTTCATGGCACCAGATCGCACCGGTGAGTGGTAAAAGAGGTGGACAAGATGGCACCAGAAAAGGCCAAAAAAGATGCTAGCCTGCACACCCGTTGCCACGGACAGTGTCATTATCAGTCGTTCACGCAGCTCAAGAGACTCAGGCTTCACGAATCTGGGAAAGTCCAACCCAGAGGCTCAGCCTCAGGGAGCTTGGAGACAGCCAAAGGGGGCTCAAAGGGGACTCTGGGCCCCTTCAATGCAGTTACTGCCTCCGAGAGGCCCTCGGGCTGAGCACCGCCAAAGGCCGCTACTCTTTTCTCAGCACCACCAAAGGCCGCTACTCTTTTCTCATCGTGTTCTCTTTGGCGCCTTTTGCTCCAGGTCTGGAGGGATGCTGGGCTAGCCTGCTGCCCTGGGAAGCTGGGAGGCCAAGATGCCTTGTCAAGTGTGCCTTCAGTTTAGGGGGCCTGTGTCTCCTGGGTGTGGTGATGGGGGTGATGGCAATGGTGGTGCTGGGGGTGGGGGGCATGCACAAGAAAGGGGCTAAGATGTTGGGACCCCACCCTGGGCTGTGCTCGCATGCATGGCCTCTGCTTCAGTCTTCCCAATGGGCACATGTTCCAGATACTCATAGTGCGAGTGGCTAAGAGTTTGGCCTTGGGAGCCTGAAGGAGGAATCTTGGTGAGGGCTTGCTTCCCACCTGTCCTTTTCTGAGCCAGGGGCCTAGCTGCACCCAGTCCTACCCTGGCTGGCCTGGGGAGCAGCGGGTTTGGGGGAATGTTTGTGATTCTGTCCCAGGTCTTTGTTAGAGAGATGTTGCACCTACCGTGAGGGGCATCACGCCTGCTTCCAGCTCAGCAGACAGAACTGGCTTCAAAGGATTATTTGGTGCCTGTGTCTCCGGTCTCTTTCCCTTCATGCCCACCTCTTCTTCCCCTTGAAAAGATTCAAAGAGCACAGGAGAGACGGAGCTCTCACTCCCTGGCAAACATTTTGGGCTTTTGGGGATATCATTTTAAAAATCAATCTGGATTAAATGAAATATATGTATGTATATTTAACCTTGTGTTTAGGGAAATACAGATCTTTTGGGGGAGCTATTTATTAGTACAAAGGCAAGGGCAGTTTGTATCTTGTATTTTGCTCATGAGAGCTCAAAGTAAACTGGACCTGAGAAGAAGCAGGCCAGAGGGCTGTAAACACATATTTTATGTTTACGGGAATTATGGCTCAGTTCCCTCCATGATTTTTTCAAATCCTGTTATACCTTATTTTCCTAACAAACACACTCAGATAGACTGTGAGCATTCCCTTACCTATCTATAATGCTCTTAATGTCATGTGAATCTGAGACTCTAATAAGAACCCCAGAAAGAATATTGAGCCCAGAAGGTAGTAGAGAAGGCATTGTCCTCCCAAGAATGGGACTCAGCTCCACCTGCTCCAGGGAAGGTGCTTCTGTGACATCCTGCTGGCTGTGCATTCCTATCTGTCTAGGGTGGGATTGAGTCACTTCACCTGCCAGCTCCTTGTCCCAGAACCCATAGGACACATTAGGAAAAAGCATATTGTCTGAGTGGCAGCGGCAAGGGTTTCCCTCTAGCTGGGATGCTGTGTCTCCTCCCTTTCTTGCTTCCCTTTTGGAGAATAATTGTCTACAGCCATGGCAAGGAACTGTGGCTCCAGAAAGGTGGTATTACTCACAGGACACATCTCCAAAGCAGAATCAAGTTGCATCGGACTTTTATGTCTGTTTCCAAAATGAAGGGGAGGAAATGCTGGCCTGGGAACTGATGAGGTTTTATTTCTTCTGTGCGTTTTCCTTTTGGATCTGGGGGAGGGGTGGGGTCTTTGATGAGAGAGTGCTCTAGTGCTCTTCCCTTCCCTTCCCTGCACAGAGCAGATCTGTGCGGATGGGGGCAGGGAGTGACCCAGCTGCAGCGATGACTGTGCAGGGGCTGGTTGTTCAGGACTCCGGCCCAGTTTGGATTAGGCAGCATTTAAGTCATGGAGAAAATCAGGACTTGCTGGTGCCTGAAAATAGAACCCCCCTCCAGAGAGTCTCCCTCCCTCAGAGTTTCTCCTTTTCTCTGCTCTTCCCCTCTCTGCCTCCTAACCTGCTTTTCTCTTCCCTCGCCTGCCTTCTAATTTGCCTTCCAGCAATGCTTGGACTTACAAAGTTTTTGATGTCATTGAACCTGAAACTGATGAAGAATAAGATACTCATTCATCCTTAAGTCCTTTGAGAAAAATCTCTAAGAAAATCAAGAGGTAATTGAGATATAATGTACAGTTTAAGATGTATAATGTTTAGGAAAGTCCTAATATTTAGTATCACAGACAGTGGGGATTGGTATATTTTCCCAATAATCAATGACCTGATCGCCATACTAACTGGCAGGTATGTTGCTTTTCTGACGCTAATTGATCAGGGAGCACTAGATACTTTGCCAGGTAGGAAAGTCTGTCTGTGAAGCTGAAATTAGTCATTTTCACAAAGGGGGGTGAAAGCGAAGACCTCACCAGAGCAGCACGATCTAGACACTGGAGGTGTTTTAATGTTTTTATTCTGGTACTAAGAACTATGGTAAGTCTGAGCTCTGTGCCTCTGTAGTAAAATGTAGATAGCGTTAATAGCAAAGGTGGCAGAAGAAAAAAACATCCCAGAGGATTTGTGTGCACTAATCATCCGCTTTCTTGTTTCAAGCAAATCACATACACGCTGAGCAGTGTGTTTTCTCCTAAACCGGGAGGAAAACATTCAACACTCAGATGAGGAAGTAATTGTAATGCTGCACATGCGCTCTGAGGACACAGCAGCAGCCTTCAACCAGTCTGCGATACAATCTGGGGCTCAGAATAAAATACAAAAGCAAAGGGCACCTTCAGATGTGGGGCTTGGGATATGCCATTTATGTGACAGAAGGGCTCTTTGGAACCTGAGGCTCCTGGCATTCCCACTTCGAAATGCTGAGTTGCTTGCATTCCTGGGAAATCCTGTTCCAGAACTGCCTTTGCAAATTCACATAGATGGATTTCTTTAGCCCTGGTGGTTTCTTCCAAACCTTTTCTATTTTCTTCTAGGGTCTTTGCTTCTAGACAAGGCACTTGAGCCAAGATGGTTAGGTTTCAGGTTAACAAAAAGAAACACTTTTATTGTCAATATTAATGGCAAACCTCGATTTTTACAAGGCTTGGGTTTAGCAGCATGAGCAGATCAAAAGCAGCTTGGCTTGATTTCTCAATATTCTCTGGAGCTTAGACAATTAACTGCAATTTTGCTCCTAACGAAACAACACAAAAAACTTCGTTACAGAAACCTTAAAGTTAGTCCTTTGGCAGAGGTTTTTATTTGTGCACAATAGGTCAGGATCTGAACGCTAGTTGAGTTTTGAAGGAAATATCCTTCAGCAAATGTTTGAGCAGGGTATCTCCCTTTGCAATGCCACGAGCCCCTTTCGGCGTGTGCATTCCATGCTGGCCTTTCTGGCCGGGTAAGGATCCGGCAGACTGAGGTCTCCCTGGTAATTTGGGTATACCGAGTCTCCAGTTAATGATAGATAATCAGCCTTTGGGTCATTCGGTCATTCTCTTATTACAAACCCCTCCTGCTCTCTCTGATCTCCTTTCAAACTAAATTTCACACAAACAAATAAAGCAAGACAGGGACAAGTTCTTTAAAAAAAAAAAAAAAAGAGGGAGAAATATTAGAAACTCCTGATACAGAACTCTAAACAAGGAAAGGCCAGCTAGAAGGAGATAGGAAAGAACATCTTATCAAAATGAACATGTTGTGTACAAAACATTAAAAGAAAAGGCTCTGGTTTCTGTTAAAGTGACAGAAAATTAAAATAAAAATAATTGCAGGCAGAAAAGTTATAATATAAACAGAGAAGGCAGGATGCTTGCTGGAAATGCGCAGCACGGGAGGCTAATTTGTTGTTACAGATTATGCATCTGTGCTATGATTGGAGAGACGCTACTTTGTTCTATTCTCCAGAAGAGAATGGTTTTCTTTTGAATACTTGTGTGAGTTCCCACTTAAGTCAACATAGGCCCAAACCTCGAGGAACAAAACGTGGGATTGCATTCTGCTTGCAAGGCATTCAACTTCAAACGGAGGATTTGGTTGCATACAAAAAAAAAAAAATAGGATTCCATTCAGAACACATTTGGAGTCTTCACTACATCGGTGTGACTGATGCTTTTTTGTTTTGCTCACAGAAGGCGCAGATCTTTCTTGCGGATGTAAAAAAAAAAAACAAAAAAAACAAAAAAAACGGCAACCAGTGCCCCCTCCCCCCTGGCAGATCTTCATTTCCCTGGTCTACATCTGCCTGTGATTCCAGAAAGACAAACTTCAGAATGGCTCAGGTACATCTCTAACCAGGAATGTGTGGCTGTGATAGTTAGGAGCTCTGGTGAGTGTGCCCCTCTGCCATTTTCCTACCCCCGCCCATGAAGTTCAGGGCTCCAGAAACAGTCCAAGTCTATCTGCGGGTGTTGTCCCAAAGCCCTGAGTTTTCAGTCCTAAGAGAGAATGAACTTTGCTTCAGGACATGATAGCTCATGGTTTCCTGAGTGAGGGGACAGTTCCGAGATGGGAGCAGGTGGTGGAAGTGTCCCCACCCCACATTGTTCCCTAATGTGGATCTGGCACCCCTTGCCTGCCAGTGTACCTGACAATCAACCCATCTCTGTCTCTCAAGGAATACACACTTTGATTTTTTTCTAGGTCCAGCTTAAGTGCCACCTCCTCCAGGCAGCCTTTCCAGGCATTGCTGCCTCTCTGCTTGTCCTCTAAGCCTCCATTATTCTGCATACCTTTCTGGGTCTCCTTCATACAGTTTCTGGTAGATGCCTGGAAGTCATCTGCTGTGATGGCCCCCTGAGAGCCCAGCATGCACTGCACCCAGTAGGTGCCTCCACAGCCCTGCAGAAGGGACTACCTAGCGAATGTGGATGAATTCCATTTATTCAGATCTCAATGCACTGATTTTCTTTATTTTGTTTATTTTTAAAGATTTATTTATTTATACATACAAGAGCTGGGGTACAGGCCAGAGGTGTGGGAAGCGGGAGGATTCACCAGAGACAGAGTGGGGAGCAGAACAGGCAGATTGACCAAAGTACACTGCTGAGAGGAGCAGTGGGCGAGCCAGGAGAGGTCTGCTGCGCCATGTGGGTATCTCCCTGGCCAGTGTGGGATCGAACTCCTGCCACAGTGGCTGCGAATTGCTTCATAGTGCGATTTAACCCCTTGCACCACCAGGGAGGAGCTGGACTTCATCTCCAATTCCTGTGACAACCCGAGAAGGCCCCGGCTGTGGGCCCCGGGGGAGACGCAGGCTGGGCCCGCCTCGCCGGTGTGTTCCCCGGAACTCCTGGGACCCTGAGGCAGAGCTGGTCAGGGCGAGTCTTGGCTTCGCACGGATTGGCTGCGTGACCTCTGGCAACCGTAGATTTGCCATCGAATCGGACCTCGAGGATGTGCAAGGAAGACGGAATGAAACCAAGGTCCACGCGGCCGCGAGGCGCCTTGGCACTCGGCCTGCGCTCGCGGATCTTTCTGTATTTTCCCTCCACGCCGCCGCGGGTCCGCTGACCACCCTTCCAGGCGCCCGCAGGCCCAGCCCGACGGCGGCGGGTGCCAGCTGGGCGGGGTGAGCCCCTCCGCGCCGCCGCCCCCCAGAGCTGCTCCCCCTGCGCCCGGGCCGCGTCCTGGAGCACCCCCAAACCCGCGCCCGGGCCGCGCCCCGCGGGCATCGCGAGGACCCAAGGTGCGGGAGTGAAATGCGGGACGGCGGCTGCCACAGGCCCGCTTGGGGACAGGGGGCGCGGCCAGAGCAGCCACCCCGGATTCCAGCTGCCCAATCCTGCCCCCCACCCTCCCAAGTTCCAACCTGGAATTAAATTGTTTTGCTCCCCCCCCCCTTTCCGTCCCTGCCGCCTTGGAGGCGACTTCGCTGCTCAGGCCGAAGGGGGCCACCGCTCCGCGCGGGAGGGACCCCCAGCCTGCCTCCGAGGACTTTTCGCCCGAGGCGGGCAGGAAGGGGTTAACCGCGCCCCGCCCCCGCCGCCCCCCACCCGCGCGCCCCCCCGGCGCGGGGCGAAGGCCGCTGCTTCCCTCCTGAGGTCTCATTAGGGAAACCCTCACCGCTATTTTCAACATTTCCTCAATCAAGTGCCTTTAAATAGAGCTGCACAAACAAATTGGCGGCAAAAGCGCAGATCTTGTCACGACGGAGACCAATCCAATATTTCAGCCTTGTTTGCTTTGCAATTACGGCTTGGCTTGTGGCTGCGGTGCCACCGGGGCCAATCTGCAGCCGCCCGCTGCTCCTCGGCACCCCCGGCGGGTGGAGGCAGCGACCCGCAGAACCACTGCGGAAAGAAGTGGGGGTGGCGCCTGGGAGGGGGCGCAGGGGGCGCGGGCGGCCCCCAACCCGCGTGCCAAGGGCGCGCGGAGCGGCGCTTGCAGACGCGGTCACTGCACAACAGTAAACCGGGTCTCCCTCCCGGGGCTGTCCACTGCACTGCCCTCCCCCGGGGTCCTTCACCCCAATTTCCCGGGCCGCTCGCTTCCACCCATCCCCTTCCCATTATTATTTTTTTTAAGTATTTGTGAGCGGTTGCTGAAGTCCACCTTCTCGCTCGCTGTTAAGCGGCCAGCACGGGTTGTTATGTTTTTCCAAAGCTGCTTATTCTCTTTTGACTTTTTGCAAAAGGCGCTTTAAATCCGTGCAGGGAGAATGCAGCCCCGAGGCCTTGCGGGGCGCTCCCCCGGCGCGCGCTGGCACCCCCAGCCCGGCCGCCTCCGGGCGCAGGCGCTCCCCGCGCAGGCCGCGCGCGCGTCCGCTCAACGGTAGTTAACTCGATTCAGGTCCTAAGCCTTGTATTTCACAGACAATTAAATCTTGGCTGCTGTTTAACAAAATTGTAATATTTTCTCTACTCTGCACTGAGGAGCACTTTTCAAGGAAAAAAACAAACACTCCATTTCAAAAGGAAAATATGATAATAAATCTCTTTTTATGGATTCTCTCTGCACAAGTGGAAACGCCGTGATTTAAACCCTCGACACCCCCACCCCCCTTTCGGGCACATTTGAAGTTACACAGATACTGTCTTTTCACATACAGTCTCCCTGTCTGGGGCTGGGGGAGGCACCTACGTTTATTACATTCAATTTAGTTTCCAAGATTTCACACCACATCCTGACCCGCAGAGCTCAATGGAACAAAGAGTTTTGAAATCATGAGATCTGGGATGTGAAGGCCACTTTTACATGGATTCAAGAAAGATTGGCATGATTTGGGGAATGATTTTAAGGCTTCATATTACTTTCTAATGAAGACATGACTTTCCTCGCATGTCAATTTCTGAATGAAGGAGCTGGGAAAGTGGAGGCAGAGAAATACTTTTTATGAGACTCTTGGGAACAAGTTTACCTGTGCTTCTCTATTATTTAAAAAAAAAATCCACTAGTGATGGGCCTACATTGGTTTGCTGGGGTCATAAAATCAATTCATAGCCATTTTGGCCAATTAGCAAACTCTTCCACACTTAAACATTTTTTAAAAAAATTTTTTTTTGGTTTATAATCCCACCTGGGTTTTATCTTCACTCTCCTGGGTCACTTTCCTATCATCATATTTTGGTTCTGAATTTTACTTAAAGCAATTCTTAGAAATGATAGTTTCTTAAAATTGTGTGATGATAAAGTCATTGAACAATATTTCAAGCCCATAAGTCATTTCTATCCATGAATCTCTCTCATGCAGTTTTTTTAGCTGATTGTTTTAGTGTTTCAAGAAATAAGAGCAGTAGCTAGAAGGGATTCCATTTCATAAGAATTCTCTCTTCACCAAAAAAAATTGGTCTGGCGTATTATTTAATGCACAAATCATAATATTACTTTCATGTGTGTTAATCTGTTTAGTATTAAAACTGCTAGAGAGTCTTAACCATTAACATGTTTTACCACATCACTTTCAAATGGGTGATCTCAGATAATTACGAAGATTTTGATGTTAATCCCATGTTAAGTGAACAACTATGGGAATAACCTTAAAAGCAGTTTTATTCTTATATAAATGCCAACAAACACAATTGTAGTGGGAACATGTTACTTTCTATCTGACATTATAGTATAAGGCTATGGCTACATTCATTTCTTTTAAAAATCAGAGCAGTTTTCAGTTACTTTTTAACAGAATTGTTTTTCCGTGTGGCATTTTGCAATGCCTGCAAACCACAGCAACTTTGTACTGACAGATACATATTTTTCTACATTGTTATTCATTAGTCTCTTTGCAAACTCACTAAAATAGAACAATATACAAACATACCAAAATTTGGAGAACAATTATTAGGGTCTACCCATTTATTTAGGTAAGCCAATGTTATTAAAATTAAAAACATGTGCCTGGCATATAAATGTTTCTTTAAGAATTCTGTTTTGGATGAACAGTTATTTTTTAAACCAACTCAGATTTTCAAGTACTGATTTCTCCCTTTAAACAGGCTGTGCATTGTTTTAAACAGTAGCTCCTGGAACAATACTGCCCTTAGTATTTTAGACTTCCAAACAACAATTGGAATTGGATAAATGCTTTCAGCTGGGAGCACTTTCCTAATACCTTTGTAGGTAATAGGATTCCCTATTTGTGTTGGGTGACTAATGGACAGTACACCAAACTACCCTGTGCAGAATCTACTAGAAAATGGAGATTTTCTATGAGATTGCTTATGGTCTGCCTAAAAAAAAAAAAAAAAAAAGCTAAAATATGAAATCATAGAAAATGAGTGAGTGCTAGCTGTAGTTATGAAATGCTGGTGTAAAGAGGGATGCAAACAAAAATAAGGTATGGAATGCGGAAACAAAATCTGAAAAAGGAAGTTTTCCTAGCCTGGGACCTGGCTTTTTGGAAACAGGAGCGTGATGAGGCGGAACCCCATAACCAAGTAGATTGTTAATAGATTGCTTTTTTTGTTTCCTTCAATTCAATGATTTTTAAAATAGATTTTTTTCCTGTGGCTGAAAAAGCCCAATCAAAGAAATGTATGTAAATTCTTAGAAATGACAAAATACTAGCTACTTTGATTTTTTAATATTGTGTTAAAATTTAAGGACTTTTAATCCACAATACCCTTGTTCTTTCTAAATTAAATGCATGTTGAAACAATTGGTGTCAAAAAGCATACATTTTTTTCAAGCTGGTGTTAAACCAGAATGATAAGGCTCACCCATGAGATGATTTCCATAAACTTTAACTTGCTGAGAAAAAAGTGAAATAAAACTTTTCAGGAAGAAATTAGGCAGCTTTCACTGATATTAATCTGAGATAAATAAAGCAAGAAACAGTCACTTTATATTCCTAGTAATTCTCCTTCTCCAAACATTGTTAAGTGAGACAAGTAAAGATGATGTCAGCAATAAAGTTACAGAATCTAATCAAGTAACTACTGCTTTATTATAAAATCTGAAGCATACGTGGATTGCGAAGTGCTTAGTTGTTTAAATGCTGATTTTTTATTTTTCAGATAGAGTGATATTTAATGAAGTGTTTATAAATAAATATGACGGGTTGTCAAAGATAACAGTCACGATAACAAAGTGGCATTTGAGTCTGTGTGGGGTGGGCTGTGCTTTGTAAATCATAATGCTCATAAAAATCACAACTTAGGTATTTGAAATGAGGACATCTGACCCTCGAAACTCAAGAGTCCTCAACGGACGGACGCAGGCAGGGACACATCATCGTGTAAGGGAACTTGCCCTTGAAGAATTTCTTTGTTGACATTGCTATTTCCCGGCGCCCTCTACTTCCCTTTGCTGTATTTTATTCAAAGGTCATAGAATTAATAGTGGCTGCAACTCACTCGACTTTTCTCTCCTTGAAACACTTGCTAGCACATGGGATTAAGATATCTGCATAAATGATTGAAAAATTCACCCACGTTCCTGTATTTTTGTTCTCATTGTTAACTGTCTGAATATGTGGAAATAAATATATCAAATACCACTGAATTTTTCTCATTGCCTCAGCTATTAGGAGTTTTAACTTACAACCTCAGATGTATGAGTCAACAATAAACCATGTACATTTTATTGTATTATCATTTATGCCCTGTTTCATGTCAGAAAGAACTTCAAGCAACTTTAAAGAATTGGTAAAATTTTCATGATCTTTTTGAGAAAACAATGCCTGTAAATATCAATTTTTTTTTGATGCTTATTATAAGATCAGTGATGTGTTCTGGTAAATAGTTGGTTCCAAGAAGAAACAAAATAGCATTTAGAATGAGATGCATTTTAAAAAATAATTTTGAACATGTAAAGACAATAATGATACATAGAAATAAAAGTGACATGTATTTAAAGCTCATAGCATATGATTTAATAAGCAAGGTCTCTGGAATCAGAGGCATAGTTTTAAATCTTGATCACAACACTTATCAACATGCAATCTTGGAAAATTATTTAATCATTCTCCACCCCAGTCACCACATCTACAAATGGTGGATAATAATGGTGTCATGGTGGACATTTGGGGATACGGTTCATACGAGGTCCTCAGTGGAGGCTCCGGTAGAGAGTAAGATAGCTCT